TACTATTTTCTTTTTTTAATACTATGAACCAGATATTACGTGTTCTTAATAAAGATTGAATTGAAATTTGGTTCAAGGTCAGTAAGCACAACCAGAATTAATACATAAGGTGCATAAGGCTAAATGTCAAATTTTGAGAAAATTTAAAAGTTTGTAAGTGCGCCCTTATAGTCTGAAAAAAATAGTTTTTTTTAGACCAATCAAGAAGCAATTTGTGGAGAAAAATTGAAAAATATGTTGAAAATTACAGTTTTCAGCATACTGATGGAAGAATTCTGTGCAACAGTTTTGCACAGAAACACATTTTTCAATACTTTTCAACAAAATAGAGGTGTTTTCTTATACTTTTATATGTCAGATAATAATTTGCATGGGAGGTGCACCAGCATAGACTGATCACGCTTTGCTGACACCCTGCTCCACGGGCTCAGTGTCTCATCTCTCTCACAAACAGACCTGGAGTTTTTTTTTCATTCACACATGTTTAACACACAAATCCTGCATATTTAGGCTGAATTTGTTTCTCAGACTGAAAACACTCTGTTCCACCTTGTCATGTCCTGTGGTAATACCATGGATCTATAATAAAAACTGGATAAGACATTCCCCCTCTGTCCCGGCTCGAGACAAACCAGTGGCCGCTCCAGGTACTGCAGCTCCCGGGAATTTGGGCTGAGAAAAAATTCTCCCGTAGAAGCACAGTGCAATTTTTTGGGAATTCAAACTGCCCGTGTTCGGCTGACAAAACATCGACAACTTTCACAAAGGTCGAATTTTGTAGGGATTCTTTTCTATTTTCACAACATAAACTTTTTAAAGTTTTTAAATCCTCAAAGCGCCTAAAAGTTTGCTTTGTAAGACTTAGCCTAGCCCCGCTTTGAGCCCATACTAGTTCTGTTTTAGCTGCTCTCGCTCTGATTGGTCCAAACACTCCACGCCGTGTACATTACAGACGTCACACGGGTGGGAGGAGTAAATGCGGAGGTGAAATTTTTTGGGGGGCCCACGCACCATTGAGCAAAGGCCACTGAAAACAATACAGAGCCATCTTGGATTCATCTTCCAGATTTTATTATAGCTCTATGGGTAATACAGAAAGTGCTCCACTGTGTTTTTAAACTCTAACTTCACTAGATTAATTTCGATGATAAAGGAGAAAATCAACTTGTTAACTGGGCATTATTGTTGTTTTTTTAGAATAATTTGGATGAGTTCAGCTCTGGAACTGTCAATCTCGACTGAACTAAAGGTAAAAGACGCTTCATAACATCAAAAAATGGAAGAGAGTATTTTGACTTTTGGACATGTAGACAGACTAATAATAAAGGATTACTCAAACATGTGCAAAAACAAAAACACAAATCTGAACTGTTTATGTGGAGGTAACAACATTTTAACGAGGCTTAAAGCTCACAAGAGTTGATTTGGAATAATATAGGATCTTTAAATGTCACGGCTGGGTGAAGTCAGACCAAACGCCCCGGAGTTTTCCATCTTTGCAGAAAACAAAAGTGATTGATTTGGGCTCTCAAACACGTCCAGACTCCTTTTGGTGGGCAGTGGCCTGAGCCTAAACTCCGCTCTGTAAACTGTGAGAGGAGCAGGACAACAGTTGAGTCTAGTCCCACCAGACATCTTTGAATGACCACGTTTCCCTTTTCCTCTGTCACAAATGAGAATAAACACAAAACCCAGAAGATTCGGAATTTTAGGGCCAGATGTGTCCTGGTTTTGGACGGTTTTAAGGGTAGCATTCCTGGATTTTTTATTTTATTTTACATTATTTTACTCACCAAAAAAGGTTAAAAGAGTTATTTACCAGTTGTTGCCTTAGTTAGTTGTTCATTTAAAGCCTTCGTATGCATGTTTTGGTTTTGTTTTCTTTCATTATGGATGTGTTTATTGCATTGAAAAACTGAAAAACATGCGTCCTAACTCTGAACGGGCTTGCATCTCCACAAACCTGACCCTTATTTGGCTTGGAAAAGGGTCTCTATCAGCTTGTTTCCATGGAAATGTTGACCTGTTTCTTTATAATCTTCAAAAGTTTGGCCTAAACTCATCTATCTTCACGGAGAATGTGCCCTACATTTGGTTTTAACTTTTTATTTAATGGATTTATGGAATCATGTCGATTTTCCACCCCCAGAAAGTTATATAATATTACTTTAAAGGTGCATTGTGTAACTTTTCTGGTGGAGGGCCTGTCAAATGTTCACTCCATATGATTTGTCGGGAATGTTTCAAAGTTTTGCATTAAAACTTTCGATCCTCTTGGTATTTTTGAGCTCTAAAACCACTTGTAATTGAATAAATGTAAGGTAGAGCTGCTTAATGTCACACTGCGGAACATTCCAGGCAGTGACATATCCATAGAAACAAGCTGTGACTGACCCCAAACCAAAAAGTTACCCAGTGCACCTTTAAATATTAACTAAAGTTATTTACCCTCAAAGTTTCTCTGCACTGATCTGTTTACTCATGTTTTTAAAAGCATTTAATTGTTGTATTTTTACTCATATCGACACTGTAAACCTGAACATTCAATGTAATTAAATAGATTAAGTTGTGTAGAAACAGTCCTGCTAACTAAATTATGTCAAGTTGCTGTAACATGTTATGGTTTTTGAGTAATTTTAACTCATATTTTTTGATTAAAGGGAACTATTGCAGGTATAAGTGAGTGTAACTTAAAAATAAAAATATAGATGAGGTACAACTTAGATTAAGACAACTTAAATTAAAGTAATTAAACGCTGAGAATGATAAAGTCATGTTATTTCAAATAGTTTAAAATACGGATGATTTAAAAATAAACTTAATTTATATAGTACATGCTAAAATACAATTTCAAAGCGCTTTGCCAAATAAATGAAATTATTCCAGTGGTTTGAAAACTCCCAAATTTAAGTCATAATAAATGAAAATAATTGAGTTGCCTTAACAGAAAACTAAGAGTCATATTAACTTCAAATATTTGAGTTGAGCTAAATGAGCACTTTTAATTCAGCTGTTATCAAAAGGTACAAGTAGAAAGTCATCCGACCTTTTAAGTTCTGGAACATTTTCAGTTCATCAAGTTAAAATAATTGAGGTAATCGATTGCTTATTTTTTTTATTTTTTTTTTTTTTTTTTTAGTTCAGGTAACTTATTTAGGTTTACAGTGTAACTTAGAAAAGATAGCACATTGGTTGTGTTTTGTCCATGTGTGTTGCTGGACGACCAACACTGATTACATTTTGACACAAATCCGGTTTTGGAGCATGAGTCTGGTCCCACCAGCCAAACTTTGAATGACCAAGTTTTTCATTTTCTTCATTCACAAATAAAAATAAACACAAAAGCAGAGGATTAAGGATTTTGGGTCCAGATGTGTCCTGTTTTTGGAGGTTTTTAAGGTTAGACTGTGGCACGGCTGCAGGCTGCAGTGAACAGGTTTAATGGGCTGATCCGCGTCATGTGACTTTGTTGTTGGCAGAGTTCAGGAGCAGCAGCTTTGGGTCCTGTGACTGTGAAACACTGTAATTCCTATGGTATTTTCTATGCCAGTTTTCAAATGTGACGGACTTGTTTTTGAATCTACTGTAGAACAAGAGCTGAGCTGGAGTTTCAGAATCATGAAAACAACTGTTTCCATAGCGATAAAAACCCAGCTCTTTCGTCATTTCTTGTGTCATTGCTACTTCGCTTTAATCATAAAACCAAAGTTTTTCACATTGCATTATTCATTTACTCCAAACTTGACGTAGCCACAGCTGCCCTGTGGCCTGCCCTCTTTCCAAAAGGGGGCAAGTCTCCATGGAGATGCAATTACTTTTTTCCTGAAATGTTCCACTATATGGTGTTAAGCATTTCTAACATGCATTTATTAAATTATGGGCATGTTAGTGCTGTCCAAAAATTCATTTAAAAAAGCATGCACTTTTAATGTGAGCGAGGTCGCCTCTCCACAGATCTAACTTGGTGGCATCTCCTAGTCAGGCTGGGGCCACTTACAGCCTCCACTCAATTTCATTTCTCTCCAGTGACTACGTCAGGAATCAGAACACACTACACAGTTTGCAAAAACCCCGAAAGTTGTAGACCACGCACCGGCCAATCAGGAAAGAGCTGTGAAGCCATGACGTCAAACTCAAGCACCTGTCTGGGTCCCTTTGTGGAACAGCACAACAGTAAACAAAGCTTCGAGATGGATGTAGACGAAGACAGACATTCAGTGTTGGCAATGATTCCCAAGATCGAGGATTTAAAGCCGGAACAAAGAGAATGTTTGGTGAATTTTATCAAGGGGAAAGATGTTATTGTCCTTCTTCCTACAGGATTTGGTGCATTACATACGTCTCGACCAAACAGCAGCGATTGGTTAAATAAATAAAACGTCAAGCAAACGAACCCTAATGCTGCGGGGTCAGACAGTTTCCACAAAGTGAAACCGGCTGATGAATCAGATTAGGCTTGTCCTACTTGTCTTTATGATAGTTAGTTTAATGCCACACACACAGGCCCTCTCTCAGAAAAGTTACATAATGCAACTGTAAAGATCCTATATTATGTAAAATTGACTCTTGTGAGCTTTAAGTCACATAATGCTGTTACCAAAAAAAAAAAAACATGTTTTGTGTCTTGTTTCCCGCAGATGTTTGAGTAACCTGTAGTCTGTTTATATCTCCAAAGCTCAAAATGCTCTACTTTTGTTTAGTAGAGACTGGTAATCCCAGGTGTTTAAAAAAAACACAACTCCAGGTCTGTTTTTGTTGAGAAAACAGCATTATAACAGATCAGAAATCAGTGTAATATGGGCCCTTTTACTGATTGCAAAGAAGCAGAAAAAAAAGAAATAAAAATAATAAGTATGGTGTGCGTCACAATGAAACCCTGAGAGTGTAACAGGACTGTGCGGTCAGACTCAGTCCCTCCTGTTGTTGCCTCACTTGTATTTACTGTGAGTGTGATAATAACAGACAAGACCACACAGAGACAGCTCATTCATCTTACACAGACACCGCCCCTCACCTCAGCACCCAGCACCCAACACCCAGCACCCAGCCCAGCACCCAGGCCTTACTCAGCACCAGCCCTCATCTAGCACCCAGCACAAAACCTTCACCCAGTTCCAGCCCTCACTCAGCAACCAACTCTTACCGCAGCACCATACCCTCACCCAGGACACACCCAATTTCCAACCCTCACTGAGCAGCCAAACCTCACCCAGCAGCCGGCACCCAAACCTCAGCCAGCACCCAAACCTCACCCAGCAGCCAGCGGCCAACCCTCACCCAGCAGCCAACCCTCACCCAGCAGCCAACCCTCACCCAGCAGCCAACCCTCACCTAGCACCCGGCACCCAAACCTCACCCAGCACCCAAACCTCACCAGCACCCAAACCTCACCCAGCACCCAAACCTCACCCAGCAGCCGGCACCCAAACCTCACCCAGCCACCAAACCTCAGCCAGCAGCCAAAACCTCACCCAGCAGCCGGCACCCAAACCTCACCCAGCACCCAAACCTCACCCAGCAGCCAGCGGCCAACCCTCACCCAGCAGCCAACCCTCACCCAGAAGCCAACCCTCACCTAGCACCCAGCACCCAACCCTCACCCAGCAGCCAACCCTCACCTAGCACCCGGCACCCAAACCTCAGCCAGCACCCAAACCTCACCCAGCACCCAAACCTCACCCAGCAGCCAGCGGCCAACCCTCACCCAGCACCCAAACCTCAACCAGCAGCCAGACCTCACACAGCACCTTACCTTCACCCAGCCCACACCCAGCGTCCAACCCTCACTCAGCATTCAACCCAGCACCCAACACGCAGCCCTCACCTCAACACCCAGCACCCAACCCTCACCTAG